GATCTACGGATAGATCTGGAGATCTCATCTCAGAAGAGACTTGAGGTCCACCTTTGTTGGGTAGTAAGAAGAGGAAGTGGCTGCTCACTCCCTTGCCAGGAATATCAGGCTGGAATTATACCTACGTTTTACCCATCAAATATTTGACACCTAGGGCTAGGAATCTTTTTATGATTCAGGATAAAAGCCCCCTTCCACAGGGAGGAGAAGAGGAGTAGTTCTGCCCCAGCCCCAGTTAACTTAATCTGACACTTGAATTCCCACTCCACCATAAACACTTATTATTTGAAAGGAAATCAGCAATAACTAGGAAAAATACACTCACTGGGGACATCACCACAGATTAGCTTAGGCTAAACACCCTGCTGCCTCCATGGAGTCCACTCTGAGTTCTCTCTAAGGATACGTGCCCCAGAAATTAAAGGAAATGGGAATGTGTCAGCTTCTCCCCAAATGGGTGGTGGGCAGCAAGGTGGCCCCTGAGTTTCCCCACACAAAACCCACACCTCTCCTCTTCTTGCATCATTCTCTCCACAGTTCAGAAGTCAGTCTCCCAACAGATGTGCGGCATGATAGGGCTGTCTGTCAGCTGGCAGCCAAGACCACCTGGGGTGCGTGTGGGGTGGGGAATTCTTAGCCCTTTGGACACCTTTTCTTTTTTTATGTTCATTCCTCACCTCCAGTCATATACTGAGAAGATCAGGAACAGTAAACACCAAGAAATTATGGAATGCCACCTGGTTTATAAAGGACAATATTATGTCTGTGTTTGTGTGTGTGTGTGTGTGTGTGTGTGTGTGTGTGTGAAAGAAAGAGAGAGAGAGAGAGCATTAACAAGGGCAAATAAGCTAATCACACCAATAATCTGAACTCTGCTCTATACACTGAATTTTACTCCTTTCTGTCCACCAGGGTTGATGACTATTCCACTGCTATGCCCCACCCCCCAATACACCCCTTCAGTTCTCCTAAGGAGCAGAAAGACGCTTTTTGCCCTGAAGCTAGGATTCTCTCCCAGACACAAAAACCTTTGGGCCCCACTTTCTAAGTAGGTAAAGGGCATTAGAGTCAGCAGAATAAGGAGGAATAGAGAGGGAGATGGGGAAGAAGGGGGCTGGCCTTGGTGTCCAGGGGAGGGCATGGCCACAAAATTCTAGGGAGGAAGGCTTCACTTACATCTATGACTCTCTTGAGCTTCCTCTTCTCCCCTCCAATGTGAGATTTAAATTGATCCTGTATCATTTTCTTCTTAATCCTATTGACAATTGATTTTGTCCTGTAACTACTTAAATTGTGCTTCTCTGTCTCTGAATTTAGTTCAGAATTCAGCTGCCCTGTAATGGGTTAATTCTGAAATCCTGTTCTCATGGCAATCACTATTCTATTCTTGCCTCAAGGAATTCTGCTCCCTTGGGAGATGCAGAGGACACCAGGGAGCTGTCCTTCAGGGATGTCTGGTTTGTTGTCCAAAGAAGTCTGGGTCTCTCTCTGGCAAGTAGACTCAAACAAGGAACACTTCCTAGTCAACGGAGGAAAGGCAGGGGGTTGTTGCTGGCCTCTCATTACCAAACTTCCCACCAAGCATATTGGTCCCTTCCCTCCACTATGTAACCAATGTTGTCCTCAACCCTGTGGCATCACCTAACCTGTTCTGTTCTTTGTTCTATACTCCCCAAAACCTATAAAATTGTCTTCCTCATTCAGGGTCTTAGTTTTGCTAAGAAGCTGAGATCCTATTTATTGGTGAATTTGTGCTTTACTAATAAATTGATCATGCTTGGAACTTAGTGCCTCATTTACCTTATTTTAACTGTTACAAATGAGAAATTTGCCACTCTGTACTGCAAATCCATCATGTGTCTACACTTCTGGTCCAAAGCACTCAGTGTGCCTCTTATCAGGGCTGTCCTTACCTGAGCAGACTGGCCCAGCTCAGGGCATTCCCACCCAGCTCAGGCCTGATTGGCTGCATTCCATGGTGCCAGTCCTACCCCTGGGAGTTACCCTCTAGAGATGTGACAGACAGGGTGTGAATGATATGGATGTGTGTGTGTGTGTGTGTGTGTCTGTGTGTGTGTGTCTGTGTGTGTACATATACAGAGAGGTTAAACCAAAAGCATCTGTAGGTCATGGCACATACCCTGCCCCTCTCCCTGGCCTTCAGCAGACTACTTCAGACCATAAGCATGGAGTAGGTCAGAATCCTCTCTAAACCATATGTCCTCAGCCTTTACCCATGGGTTTTGCTTTGGCTAGTCCACAGTTGATCAGGTTTAGATAAAAGTGAAGGTATTTTAATGAAATAGCAAGACAGAGAAAGTCATCCCATCACCCATCCCCATAAACCTCAACACACTTTCTTACACACACCACCAGGCAGCATAAGAGTGAACATTCATGGGGATTCTAGACAGGTTCTAGATTCTAGATTCTAGAGCCCATCGGCTCATATGAAACCATGTGGCCAAGACATCAGAGGTAAGAAAGGGCCATTGTCAGTTCTGCTATAACACTTATTTTGAGGATGTGAATTTGTTCCAATATGAGTGATAGAGAATGACTGGTGCAGTGGATAGAGCACCGGCCCTAAATTCAGGAGGACCTGAGTTCAAATCTGGCCTCAGACCAACACCTCACACTTACTAGCTGTGTGACCCTGGGCAAGTCACTTAATCCCAATTGCCTAAAAAAAAAACCCCAAAACACTTTAATTTGTGTTAGCTTATGTGGGCTTTCATCTTAGAGAAACAGAGAAGACAGAAGACAGAACCACTTCCCAATAACTCTCAAACTGCAACTCTCATTCTGATGCCAACATCCACAAGCAAACTTCAGGCTTTGTTAGGGTAAAGCACCACATTTATCATAGAATCTTTGGAGCAGTTGGAGCTGAGTGCTGAGAAAGGTTGATCTGTCCCTCCCCCTTACCCACCTTCCACCATGGCCTGGAACTATGGTCCACTGAGACCACCCTCTTATCCAGAGCAACTCCACTTTGCCAGCCCAGTGGGTGCTGGGGAGCAGGCTGAGCAGCAACCCTTGGCTGGGAACTCAACCACTATTTACTATAATATTTGATCATTTCTTAGCCATTTAAATGCATGAGACTGTGCTGCTGCCTTGATTTGGTTCCTATTTTTTTTTAATGTGTCACTGATTGAATGGTGTGCTCCTGACCCCATTTTCCCATCACCTCTGTAACTTTCATTAGGTGATTTTGTGTAGCCAGTGATTTTTGGGAACACACATGTCCTATGACAGCAGAACAGACTGAACAGGGAGGTTGACTTGGGCTTTGGGTGCTGCAAAGCTGCTGCTGTCTCTGACCGATGTGGGCTTTCTCTTCTCTGCAGGACCTGCCCTCTACAGATAGTTGTCCATTCTGGCCTCCACTGCCTTCACCAGGTGTTCTTCTCCAATATAGCTGTTCCTCAACCCAGGCTTTTTTAGGGTTACCTGATGCCCTGGACAATCTATCCACTAAGGATATAACTGAGGTGGCAGCTGTCTCCCCAGATCTCAGCCATCCACATTATGCACCGAGTCCCCCCCACCAAGGAGAGACTCCTTCCCTTCTGGCTTACTCTGAAAACCAGCTCTAAGTAGGGCCTTTGCCCGCCCCCCCCCCCCCCCCCAGCTCTCGACCTCCTTAGTCAAGGGAAACTTCCTGGAAGCTGGTTCTAAGAGCCCAGTAGAGAGGGAGGGTCTTCATTCCCCCTAGCCTCAGACAACCATGGTGAAACCATCTTCATTCTCCCCAATCAGCAGCCATGAAGCTTCTTCTCTCTCCTCTGCCAGGCTTCCATGCTGAGCTTCGTGGCTAATGGGACATCAGGAAAACTCTGTTCCTCCTTGGGCTCACTTGCCTGAGGAGGCTGGGAGTTCTAGGCTGAACTCAGGTCTTCTCAGAATTCTTTTCCTAACTGAATCTCTGAACTTTTTACTGGACAAAATGGCTCTGAGACCCTCTGCTGTGTCCAGTGGGTCTCTCCATCCAAAGTCAACAAACAGATGCCAACAAACCCATTTCCACTCTTTGATCGAATCACCTAGAGGAAGTCTATCTCCCCAAGGCTGGTCTATTTCCTCAACGGAAAAGCCAGTTGAGACATCTCGGGCACTCAGAGCCTTTGTGTTCCACAAAAGGTGACAGAGGAGCCCAGCACCCCCAAATCCATTTCAGAAGTGATATAACAGGGAACTCAACAAGACTGGGCTCAAGAAGACCAAGAAGGAAGATCCGCGAGCTCCCCCATGCATCCCAGGCCTGCAGAGACCAGTAGAGGTTCCAGTAAAAGGTCTGAAGCCTGTGCTCTTTGAGCAAGGATGTGTTGGGGCACCTAAACAGAGGTAGGTATCAAAGGGCCAGTACTGGAAGTAGACCAGGACAATACCCAACTGGCTTCTGCCTTTGCTGGCTTATTCCTTGCTGTCAAGAGCATGGCACATTTTAGAACCCATGAGATGTCAGGCAGGGTCCAGGCCCCTCAGAGCACCCACAGGCCCTTTGACATCTGGGAGGGAATGTTTGGTGCCTCCAGGGAATGCAAAAATGGGAGGGGGCTATAAATCAATTGAGATGAGGCAAGAGTAAAGGTAGACCTGGTCACAAGAAGAGATCAGCAACAACACCAGGTTAGGCTTGAAGGCATCATAGATAATGAAAAATTATGTGAACTCAGTATATATGTACTGGCTGGCTTAGTAGCTAAGCATTTAAAGAAAAAGCTAATCAAAAATATGGGGAAAAGCAATAAGTAAATCTATAATGGATGGGGACCTCCAATTGTGGAGCTCAAATAAGGCATCTCCCAGGGACCTGATTCCAATATAGCGCTCTCTTGCTGGTTGAGCACCATCCCCTCCCCCAACCTAACTCATCACACCTTTTTTTTTGGCAATTGGGGTTAAGTGATTTGCCTAGGGTCACACAGCTAGTAAGTGTCAAGTGTTTGGTCTGAGGCCAGATTTGAACTCAGGTCCTCCTGACTGCAGGGCCGATGCTCTATCCACTGCACCACCTAGCTGCCCCCATCACACCTATTTTTAAAGTTTCATCTCAAAAGCGATTTTTTTAGCCTTCACCATAATCCTCCAGCCCTTGAGAGACCAAGGGACACAGACCCTAGCTGCTTTGCTCGTCCTTGGGTTATGAGTTTATCCCAGGAAGGTGCAGCCAGAACCTGGGGTATCTCCTGCTCCTTCCCTGCCCCTGAGGTACTCCTGGCAAAGCAGAAGCATCAGTCTGATGGCTTAGCTTCTCCCCTGGCTCTTTTCCTTCCAGGCATGGGAGAAGGCAAGAGAGCTTGGGTGGGTGGGCTGGCTCCTCTTCTCTTGCTCTTTCAGGGGAAGGGAGCAGCAGCCTAGCAGCCAGCCTCCTACCTGGTTCCCATGGACTGTGAGCAGCCCTCTCCCATCCCCTCTGGATCCTAATATAGAGTCTGGACATGCCTCCTGGGAAAGACTGATGGTACTGCTTCTACCTGATGATGGCAAGCCTGATGGTTCTGCTGCCACTTGATGGTAGCAAACCTGATGGTGCTGCTGCTCCCAGGGCTCTCTTCCTTCCATACATGAGTGGAGGCAGTTAAGGATTTCTTCTTGGACAATATTAGGTCTAAATTTGGGGATTCACTGATTTCTTTGTTCTCTTTACATCCTCAGGTTTATCTTAGCCCTTCCCCAGCACAGAGCACGCCTCCAAAGCTGAGGATAAGTGAGGGTAAGTGGATGAACGAAAGGGACAAACAATAACTGAAAAGATTCAATAGTGGGTGGGTGGGTGGGTGGATGGATGGAGGGTTGGTTGGATGGTGTGGATCTGTCTCTTCTCTTACCCTTCTCATCACCTTGTGGCCTCTCTAGCTACCTCTACGTCATCTGGTCTTCCTCCTTGTAAAGGCAGCAGCAACATGGTGGTCCTCCTCTGCCTTCTAGGCATTGATGGAGACAGGAGGATGCTTCCCTTCCCAGGGGCAAAGCAAGAGAAGAACTAGGCCATCCATCCATCTAGAACCAACAGACTGTGACCTCAATGCTTTGCTCTCTACTCTGTTCCTGCAAAGACACAATTTGTCCTGGTTGTATGTTTTCTGCTAGCTGCATCAAAAGAGGTTGGGCAAAGGTAGGTAGAAAAAGTGGAAGACACATCAGACCTCAGAGCAAGGTACAGGGAGACTACAAAGGGATCTTGTATTCCCCTCCCTCATCCTCTATCCCACCTGAATTACAAACACTTTGGTGTCAATCTATAAAAATATTGTTTAGCCAGATCAAGTGATGTGCAGGAGAGGGAGGCAGTTGTGGGAGACAAATGACCTAAAGCCCCTAGAAGAAGCATAAGGAATTTTGCAAGTCAGACTGGGACAAGGGAAAGGAAAAGCATCACCACAGGAATCAAACTGGTCCTCTTTTGAATCCATCACAAACCCACACACAGGCCGTCCCAGATAGTGACTTCCATCTAACAAGTGGGTGAGGAATCCCCTTCAACCCACGCCCATCAGCAGTATCGATGTTATATGCAGGGACAGTCTACTCTCTATACCAACCAAATTACACAGGCACACACATACATGCACGAACGCATGCACATGTGCACATGCACATGTGTATACATATATGCGCATCTGTATAAGTATGTCTATTTATATGTACAGTTACATATGAGTGTCTATTACATGTGAAAGCGTAGCTAGGGTCAGCTATCCTGGCCTTCCTCTGTCTCTCTTAAATCTGCAGATAATAGGGATTTATGGTGCCATAGATTGCCTTCTTTTTTGTAATTCTTTGTATCTGGAAAGGCTCAGCTTCATGGACATTTGTCATAGTAAGAAAACCGGGAGCACACAAAGTGAAAAATCCAGAAAATTCTGAATGCACACTGACCTCGATCCCACCTTCCCCAGCTGTATCTCAAGTGGATTCTTCGGTTCTGCCCCAGGGAACAATATTGCAGACCTGTCAAATGCTGTGGTTGTGACTAACAACATTCACTGATTTACAAGTGTAGGACCTCCAGCTATCAAAGAGAACTTTATCCCACTCTGCAGTAAACACCATAATAACAGCGCACATTCATTAAGCACCTACTGTGTGCCAGGCAGTATGCTAAGGGCTTTATAATTTTTATCTCATTTGATCCTCTTAGCCACCCTGGGAGGGAGGTGCTATTATGAGCTCCATTTTACACATTTTAAGGCAAACAGAGGTTGACTGACTTGCACTGGGCCACACGGCTTGTAAATAGTGACTGAGGCTGGATTTAAAGTCACATGTTCCTGACGCCAGGGCTAGTGCTGTGTGTACTGACACCTCCCAGCAGCCCTGAATTCCACCACTTCCAACAAACGATTCTTTTTTTTTTAACAAACACAAACATTTTAATAATAAGAGCTAGAGAAAGAATCCTATAAGCAACAATGGAATTTGTTATATACGGATTGTTTTTAAAGACAACTATATACATATGTGTATAGTTAAATTTTAAACAGTCACTCTGTTTGTGTTTCCTAACGCATTTCTTTTTTCTTCTTCTGGGCATTAAAAGAGGTTTTATTATGCTCCTTTAAAGAATCTCATAGAAATAACCCAATCCAGATAGAAGTCCTCTCCTAAAACAAGTCTACATAGTCAAGCAAAGCAAATCCATGCATCAGTTACACTCTGCATTTACAATCCTTCGTCTGTCTGCCAAGAGGTGGAAAGCAGGGTTAATCTTTTGAAGTCAGTTGTTTGCAGCTCTGATGATGTTCGGAGCTCTGATGTTTTTCGAAGTGGTTTTCCTTCACATGATTATTGTACGTAAATCATTCTCCCGGTTATCCGATCAATCTTCCACGTTTCTCAGAAGCTGTCACATATAATGTCAGAAACAGAGGCCCCTGCACCCCCACAGCAGGTCTGGGAAGTTAGCCCATCGCTTTCCCAGTTGCAATGCCACGTGGAGTCTCGCTCTTAATCATGATAAACCCTGAGTGAAAGACGAATCCTTTATTATGATTCTTGCAAGAATCAGGTGCGCCCCCTGCTGGGAGAGGCGCACCATGCAGAAGCCAGAGCCACCTTTTATGCTGTTAGGAAGACCCTGCTCCTTCCAGCAGGGCTAGGATTGGTCCAGCTCATCTGAGTTACGCTCTTCCTGAACCGCCCATCCCATGTCATGTTAACTCCTCCCAGTTCATGCCTCCCATGTTCAAAAAGGGCTGCTATCTCTGCCCCTGGGGTGTGTCAGTTAATATGCAATAAGCTTATTTAATCAAGCGCAGTGGAGAAAAGCCTTTGCCCTGTTGTCCTTGACCCAGACAGGTTGCACTCGGTTTAGTCCCCAGGGCTCTTTCTTAAGGAACTAGTTGTTTGCGGAATGTTTGGGGCACTTTCTGATTGGTTGAGGGACTGTCCATGAGATGTTGGAATTCCCTTGTTCTGCTCTGGAAGCCTAACTTCTAAATTTTTCTCACAAGCCCCCCCTTTTCTTTTCTAGTAAAGATCTGGCTTCCACACATTCCCAATTTCCTCATCCTCTAATCTCTTTAACCTGATTTTGCATTCTCCATCACTGGGGGAAGTCTCAATAGTACTTTCGATCATCATCCTTACATTGCCAGAGCCTTCCATCTGAACTCCCTCCGTGGGTCCTGCTGGAGTAATCTTAGTGAGGGATGTGGTCCTCCAATGCATGGAACCACACAACATCCTACAGCAGTTAATACTCCCAAACAGATTCAGCCATTCCTTTCCTTTCCATTCGCCAAACCAGGGTTCTAACCATCCATTTAATCAGTTCTCTATCCCAGAGTTTTCTGCCAGCTCCTCAGCTAAGGTGGTTAAACCTTGCAATGCCTTAGGGATGGTCCTATCTGGGGCTATGCTGCTGGGCAACCTTTCATCAAGGGCTTTTGGGGACTTAAAACAATACCAACAAACCATTCTTAAACAATCCAAACCTAGATGGTAACACAGCATGCGTTGCATAGCACTGAATGTACCCAAACACCAGTGTGCTTTCATATTCTGCATTCTAGCTGTTCAAAAAAACCACCTTCATGTAAAGACAAGCACACCACAAACATGCAATCCCAAATTTTCCCATAAGAAGCTGAGGCTCCCTGTACAATATTCACAGCTGCGCGTCAGTGATTGGCATTGTGCGGTCTCCTCAGTAACCACTTGTCCATTCTTCTGGGAACAGCCCCAGTGCACCTGCTCATGGGGAAAACAGGCCCGCCCCGCCCCCGGACCCTGAACTTGAGGGTAGCCCCGATGGGACCTCGCACAGATCTCCGGTCCTACAGGCCTCTGGCGGGTCTGCGGCTAGCACAACCTCAGCTTCTTGGAGCCTCCTCACTGGAACATCAGTTCCTTCCCCATGTCCATCTAAACTACCGGACTGGGGTGCATCTGTTTGAAGATCTCAGCCCTTTGCTGGGCACAAACGCTGCAGTTGTTCATCATCTGCATCTTCACACCATCTCAGGTGATGCCATGGAGAAAGAACAGACCCTGGAGTCTGAAAGACCTCAGTTCAAATTCTGCCTCAGATGCTTCCTAGCTGGGTGACCCTGGGCAAGTCACTTCATCGCCGTCCTCCACATAATAATACCACCTACGTGGCAGGGTTGCTGTGAGGATCAGATGAGATCATGTAAACGTGGGACATGTGAACCTTAAGGTGCTGTCCTTATCATGGCTGAGGGGCGTTTCTCTTGTTTAAAGAAGTGAGCAGGCTCTTAAGATGCCGCTTGGCGTCCCATCCCTTCCTCCTGTCCTCTCACTCACCAGTGAGGACGACGCCCAGCAGGGGGTGCTACCTGGTCCCCATTTTTACAAGTTCATGACACTCTCCGGGTTCCCTCGGTAGAATGTCCATGATGCATTTCCGTATCTGGGAGGAGGCATTTACACCACTAAAGAGGTTATTTCTCTTCCTTTGCTTCTTCCAGTTGGAGACTCCAAAGGAAAAACACAAGAGAATCTGGTAGATGGTCGAGGTGGTCCTCAGTCCTGATGGAGAAAAGGAAACCTCCTAAGGGTCATTTTTGGAGAATTTAGCACCGACATCAGGAAAATGTTCCAGAAAAGCACAGCCAATAACTGATGCTGGGGAAAAAAATATGATGCGGAAAATTGGGAACGATGTATCGTAAAGACTAATTACTGAGAGAAGAAAGTATGTAAGTCTGCCCTGATCTATTCACGTTCAGATGATATCCAGAGGGAAGAATGCTTGTCCTGAAAAGGGAAGGGAAGGGAATAAGCATTTATAGAGTGCCTCCTGTGTCCCATGCACTGCCTGTGCTCAGGGCCTTTACAAATGTTATCTCATTTGACCCTCATAAGAGCCTTACAAGGCTAACATTATCTCTATAACAATTATTATGCTGATATTTTCTCCATTTTACAGTTGAGGAAATGGAGGAAAATAGAGGTTAAATGACTTGCCTAGGATCCCACATTTAGAAAGGATCTGAAGCCAGATTTGAACCCAAGTCTTCCTGAATCCAGGCTCAATGCTCTAGCCACTGTGCTAGTTAGTGACATCTAAAGAAGAGAAAAAAAAGCAACACATGAAAATAATTGACAAAATCAATACAAAGGGACACATTATAATTCTCTTCTTAAGGCAAAACTAAAATCAAAACCAAAATTTCTACTTTGCTGGTGACTGAGAAGCTGACAAGAAAATAATTTTTATTCCCCAAATTGCTCTCATTATTATTTTCTGTTTAAAAGGGTGGAGGGGAGGGGTGAGTTAGGGTGGGGAAAATAGGAACCCTGAAGGAATGGTAGGGTCAAAGTGTTCATATGTTCCTGCTAAAACAGCCCTCTCAAAAAATCACTGTCTCTGCTTTACATAAAGTCAGCAGGTGTTGAACTAAGTACCAAGATGGTGTGAGGCTCCTTCCAGCCTAGATCTATGGTTCTGTGTTTAGAGCCTTCTGGGTCACATAAGCAGCAAGATGGTGGTCTAGATATTCTCTCTGATCCCCAGAACCTCTCAGACCTCTCCAAAACAGAAATTATGCACCAAAGAAAAAGCAGCTCCAGTTGCTTCCATGCTGTAGGACATCCAGAATACAAAAGAAGGAGGGGGAAAAAAACCCAGGCACTGACCCTCCTTGACCTTGAGCTCACTCAGCACCCCTCTCCTACCTCCTACACTAGGAGACTCAAGAACATGACACAGGCTTGTCAGAACCGCCTCTGCACCTTCCTCTTCCCTCTTTCCAGTGCCATGGAAATACTCGGGCCCAGACTCTCAGAAGCACCAGTGCTGCAGTGCTCTGACCTGCAGCCTCTGGACTGCCAGCGCAGGGGCAGAGAGTTGAGAAACCGAGAGAGTAGGACAGGCCACCAGATGTCATTGGGGGTGGGGTGCTGTGCAGCACTCCATCAAGCTTGAGGGAGGAGCCCAGCACCCAGCTGGGGCCAGTTCTGACCACCCAAGAGTAGATTGGGGCCGATTCTTTGGCTGGTGAACTGTGAATTGCCCAGGGTGGGAAGAGGCTGAGACACTTTGAGATCCAGCCCCCAAGGAGACTACAATCAGAGGGGACAAAGTCAGAAGTGAGAGCTAAGAAAAATGGGGAGCGGGGGAATCAAGATTGAAAGTACCAAAGAAAGTACTAGGAAGAAAGAATCTCAAAGACCCTGAACATAAAGAGATCAATCAGTAGGAAAACCAGTAACAATAGAAGGAAATGTGGCCTCCAGATCTAGTAAATGAGATCAGGCATCAATGAACACATACTGCAGAATGAAGGGAAATGATCCAGCCCTTGAGACAGAGAATTTTGTGGAATTTGAGAACATGGCAGCAGAATTCACGTCCTGCAAAGCAAAACTAATGATGAGCAGAATAGAAACGTTTGAATCTGCCATGGCAAGTCTCCAAAGAAATAAAAGAGAGAACCGTCAGTGGGGAAAACAAATATACAGTTGGGAAGGACAGCCTAGGAGGAGAGAAGCAAAAACCAAGAACACTAAAGCACACATGATGCAGATCTCAAAGACAGGGGTCTCCCAGAACATGACGGCACAAAAACAAACAAACAAAAAAACGTCGTAATGTCATACCCAGAGAAATGTGGTTATGGAGAGAGCTTCCCAGAACTTCTAAACCTGGAAAATGAAACTCCAATCTAAAGAATTCACAGATAGCCTCCAGAACAAAATCCAAGTCTGCAAACTCCAAGACACAGAGTGGTTCGATTTAACAGTTAAATTCAGAAACCACAAGCTCTGCAGCCATCAGGAGAAAGACCTTGACATACAAAGGAAAGGACATTCCTGGGTCCCAGGGGAACACATCCTGCAAGTCTGACCTGAGCCACACAGGACAAAAGATGGACGTTCAATAAGAAAGAAGAGCTTGAAGCATGTGCAAAAGGAAAACCAGGACTGAGGAGATTATTTGCTTCTCAAACACCCCAAACAGCATCAATGTCAGAAAAGTGAGTAAACACAGCAGGCAAGGACAGGAATGGCAACAGAGAACAGAAGAGAGACTTCTTCCTAAAAGAACACAGAGACAGGAGTGACAGAAGAAATCTGGTAGAGGTGACAGTGAAGAGGTGCACGGGGGCATTATGGACAGAACATGGGATTATCTGCCTACAGCTGAATGCTTTTTTGTAGGACCACAATACAACGTGGGAGGGTGTGTGCAAGGTGGGGAGCAAAGCAGGGGGATAGGAAGAAGGGAGAGAGGTGCCCAAGAGCCAAATCAAGGGTTAGCAATGAGGGAAAGGTGGCCTCTGAGGTCTCAAAACTGAGAAGAGCCGCAGGGGAGTGGGTAGGGCAGAGGGGAAAAGGCTAATGAGGGAAAGAGGCCTTACTTTGGAGATGGAAGGGACTTCACTGATGAAAGCTCCTATGGGTAAAGGGAGATGAGGGCCTAACATTGGATGAGGCCACAGGGATTGGGGACCTGAAAAGCCTATTTGTTCTGGGAGGAGGGAGTTGGAATATTTGGGGGCAATTGGCACCTGGAGGAGTGGGACAGCATGGGCATAGGAGATGTGGGTGGGGGAGGGTCAACAAGAGAGGGTATAGACCTGTGAGGGAAGGGTGGGACTTACCGGGTGTGGGCTTTGTTTGTCTAGTCAGCTGCTTAACTGAGTGACTTTCAAAGATAATTGCTGTGAAATATGGGAAGTAGGAGAATTGGTTCAGCAGACTTCACCACACTAATCCTTAAGTAATGGCCGGGCAAAAGCCTTCCCGTGCTGTAGGAAAAATGTGATCAAATGTGGGGGGTGATGCTATCCACCACAGGTGAAGCCCAGGCTTGTTGCTCCAAGTTAGCTCAGAAAGGTATTATACGAAATGGCTTCAAACAAAATTCCAAATCACAAATTGACTTGATATGGGGAACTTCCACAGAAAGTCTTTAAAACTCTCTCTTTATGAACTTAGTCATTTTAGGACAGCAATAAAATGAGCAGAAGGACCAGACTCGAGCCCACTTGGGCAGAATAAGGCAAGGAAAAAGGTCTAGCTTTCCTT